TCACTTAAACTTGCAAACTTTTCCATGGAGTTTTGGAAGACTCTGTAGTAGTCACCGACGGCGCCGTTTTTTTTGCTCAATGTGACTGAACAACACGTCAAAATTGTGAAACCCAATCAAGTCCCCCTACATAACTACTTGTGGCAAAAGTAGTCGCCAAACATTCATCTACTTTTTGAACTCCGTTTCCGCATTTTTATACTGCACCGATTTGTAAGCGATTTGATCAGACGATACCAAGAGAACAATTTAATAAACTAAATAGGGATCTGAAAAGATTGAAAAATGAAAAAAGTGCCGTTTTTTGTGTGGATATATAGCTAATCAATTTCATTGTCAGTGTAATTGAGCAAGCAATAAAGCGAAAAGATAAAAATGGATTTCCATAAAGGAGTTATTTAGTAAATTAACAGGTATATGGAATACTTTTACGTTTTAATTCCCTCCATTGCGCACTTCTTTAACTAAAAGGACTAAAATCACTTCCGAGGTACAATACAAATTGCTGCTGTTTTATACATTAAGTGGCAGTTAGGAGAATTTATCTCTGCAGTGTAATAATATCTTCTAGTTCGTAACCCTTTCAGTAGCATGAAAATTTCTCTATGCCATCTGAAACACCTCTGTATTGCCGCACGGACACTAACGCAGGAATAATTTTCCAATATCGGGATCGGCACAAAGCCATCTCAGAGGTTATCTTCCAAACTTAATCTGCTTTCGATGTTCTTGGGCGATGTTTTTCAGCATGCATTTTCAAGATGATGTGAGACAAACTAAGCATTTTCTACTTCAATGCCTACGGATTACTTTCCAAAGTAAAACGAAATTAGGAATTTCGGCTTGTCAAAAAGATTGGCTAAATGAATTAGGCAAAGCAGAAAGAAAAAAATGGAGGCGCAGGATTAACAAATAATTCCATGATTTCTTGCTAAGTTGGGATGAGTTAAGCTTCAGGGAGGGGAGAAGGTTATTACGACTTTTAGAATAGTGACATGTAAAGCCGTAAAGAAGGTGTTGAAGGTAAAGGTGCCGAAGGCAGACAATGCAAAGAAGAGGATGTGGAAGACGAGTTATGCCATCTACTTCTACAAGATGTTGCACCAGATGTATCCAGACACGAGCATCTCCTCCGTGAACGACATCCTCGAGCGGATTGCCTTTGAGTCGAGTCGGTTGGCGCATTACAATAAGAAGTTAACCATCACGCGAAGAAAGATCAACACTGCTGTGCATCTACTGCTGCCCGGTAAGTCGGTCATCCATCCGGTGTCAGAGAGCACGAAGGCTGTGATGAATAAATGCAATATGTATCGATTTGATAAAAAAAGAATTGATGTGGCTAACGTAAAATGCATTTAGTACTTCAATTTTGCACTTGTCATTACTTCAGAGCTAGAAATAAACATCATTTCAGCTTCAACCAGCAAAGTTTCATCTGCTCAACAGGCGCAAGCTAAAGCACAACAGCCCACTGAGTAACAGCTAACTTCAAAGGTGCCAGCTAGGCCATGGTGGCTGGTAAGGGAGATGGTTACATTTCTTGACACCCAGTCATCCCCACTCTTTCCTTACACTAGCTTTTAGTGAGGATTTGAATGCCAAAATAAATAGCAGAGGAGGACGTAACGTGATTTAAAGTGAAAAGGAATTTGTGTAAAGGTAGACGAGATTAACGATCGTTAAGCTGCGCTAACATGGCTGGAAGGGTAGTATTTAATGAACACGTGAAATGACATCTAAGGTAAAAGCACTGGAAGTGGTCAAGTCCAGAATGGAAAGAAAGATTAAGATGATTTCTGCCCTCCACGCTTGCAAGGCTTTACCCTAGGTGCATTTATACAAAGGTGTTTCCTATAGGAAATTCAATCACAAACACATTGCTGCAGTAATTTGAAATGCAGGTTGGTGTATTAAAAATGGAAAATCGAGCATTGGAAGCAGATGGATCTAAGCTGCTGTTAGTGATTTGGTTAAGCACACGGTGTCGAATATGGTCAGGTATACAGTTGTCAGTACGAAAATGGGTAATTTGCATGATTTCTGGAACCCGCCATTTTTGTGACTAGTTGTGTATCCGTTCCAGAAATGGAGCTGTTGCTCACTTCTTCTTCCTCAGCATAAAATTGCATTTGGACATAATACAAGCGCAGTAATCCGCACTTTTAGTCCACTTTCAAACAGTAGCAAGAGTAGTCGTTAGCGATAGTTGAAAGTCGCCACATCTCGTAAATCAGAACCTTAAACATAGATTAAGGAATCTCCATTACTCTGTTGGCTATTAATGGTGCATCAAAGGCATCGATATTGGTACAATCTGATGCAAAATTTCATTTTGATGAAACATTACGTATAGAAACATGAATTAGTTGCAAAAACACAAATGCTTGATCTGTAGTGTATCGTCTGCATAATACAAACTAATTATTCTACATTTTGCACGTGTATGTGCTGCAAGTCACAAACAACTGCTTTTTAAGTTGTGTATCAGTTGATACACACCACGTCGTGATTCATCCAGTTGTGCGCTCACATTCCAGCTTATAGTCAATTTAACCAGCCTTGCATGCTTATTTACTATTTTTCTATTAGCCTTTTTCATACAAATCATTTTTGAAGCTTAGGAAGATTTCGCTTCCGCATTTGTTGTAAGACGCTCTTGCTTATTTTTAACGTTGGCAATATTTAGATCTCCAAAACAAACGATGCTGCGATAGAGCTTAAAAGAGTAATCCGGCGGAACAGAAAGGTACGAAAATGCCTGGTGTTAAATTTATCAGCTTCCACCAAATACCCGATTTTACCTCACCCAGATGCCATTGTATGTCGACGTAACCATCCCAAACCCCGATAACTGTTGCGGATGCCCCAAGGACAGTTGAGTAAATTTGTCTTTAACTTTACCAATGCTTTTGCTTATTCCTCTTACTTAATTTAAAATTCGTAATTTTTCCAAAACTCATTTTCCTGGCTGACTTATGTGCGAAAAGGCATGGGATCTAGAACCTAAGTGGAAGAAATCAGCAAAGACTTGGTCGTCATTTGTTGGTGAAGTAGTAATGGGTTTTTAGGGCAACCTGATTCTAAAAATGGGTGTAGGACACTCCGAAGCATTGCCTTCATGAATATGACCACAGGGCAGGAGGTGGGGGCAATTCTAGAAGAGCGACCTCCTTGGTTTATTAAGAAGTGCATCAGAGTGCAATCCGTATTTTTACAAAATTTCAGTTGGGTTGCTGTGATTGGGACACAGGTTTCCTAAGTCAAATTCCACATGGTAGTAGATAGCGAAGTCAATGATACGCTGACACAGTATGTACTTCTTTAGCACTTTTACCAATTCTTACAATAGACCTAATTAAACCATAAGATGCTGCCAAATGGTATGCATGACATCTGATTTCGGCAAGTTGTCACAACCTATGAAATGGCTTAGCTGTATTTATGTTCAACTCTCAATATTCCAAAATCCTTACTTGTCCATTAAATACTACTTATAATGAAAATGCATGATTGACTAGTCCTGAGGATAAAGTGCACATGAAATTGGTAACGATGACAGCAACCATGTGACGGCTCATTTTAATTCACCGCCAATTAATGCATTGTCCCAAAATAAAGGTAACTACCGCTTGCAGTGTATATGAACACCTCTTTTATGGCTAGCTAGTTTTATTGGTGATTACAAAACAAGTAAATACAGACATAAATACCTTAAATCCCCTGACATGAACTTGTGCCATTTTTACTTTTCTCTTTTACATCCAAGCAAAAGAGATGCTCACCATTTAGAATAATTGCTTTTATTATAAGCTAATTATCATCCTACTTAAATGCACCAAAAGAAGTGGTGGTGTACCTTGCTACCAGTAAATATAAATTAGGTTTACCTTCTACACCGGTGCCATCAATGCAGAGGCCATTGTGCTATTTACAAGGTCATTATCGCCAGGCGCACTAGCATTAAAGTGGCCTCAAGGTTGGACTACAACTCTCCTGGTAATTGGAGACATTAGTGACTCTTTCAGAGTGAATAAATCATCGCAAACAATGAAATAGGCCTTTGGGTAAATCAACAAATATTTGCTACACTCTACTGACTTATTGCCACTAAAAGAATCAATTCCATTGACGTATTTATTAGAAAACATGTTTTTTACTCATTAAAAGTATGAATATGTGCGCAGGTGAATAAATTGTTGGAAAAATGAATAGGAGTGTACCCTTAAAATCTGCTTTGGTACTATGTCTAAGGTACGTATAATTTGTAACGGTCTACCCAGATGCTTTAGTGATTGCATATAGCTCGACTTGTGGAATTTACGAACTGGGTGATGGAAATATATTTGAGCACCCATGTTTTAGCTTGAAAGTGAAGCAGTCGGTGTTTGTTCTTGCAATCATAATCTTCTGAGATTATAAGGTGTTAATAGTCAAGTTTTGAACATCAACATACAGTAGATTAGGAAATTAAATCTAGTATTTGAGTCAATATTAACAACTCTTGATAGACATACTGTACTTGTTAAATAAGAGCTCCTACATTGCAAAAATTGACAGTATATGCCATATTTTTTCAATTGTGATATACGTAAATTAGGATGTCATGTATTTTAACCACCCTGTATGGCAAACGGCGAACAAACGGAATAAACAGAACGGGAATTATATGTACGTAAAAAATTACCATAAAATAACAAGCGAATATTTTATGTTGAGTAGGCGGTTGTGAGATCGCAATTGGCAGATTTGGGACCTGCATTTCAGCTGATCCACTGTATGATTTTCACTTGATCGTAACGGGCACCTGATACATGCGTACCTTTTTAAATGCATCCGGAAAATGATGAATAACTATTAATGGAAAAGTGTTAAATACACCTAGTTAAAGGAGATATTCTGCAGTTTTATGCAAGATAAGTCCTTCCCTTATGAATAAAATAAGGTTGGTTAAGAAAGCCTTGAGCGCAGGAACGCTGAGTCAATAATACTACATACATCTATTTATAAACCCATGGGGTTACACCACGTTTGTTTTGGTTAGTTTTAAGAGAGGTTGCTATTTTATTTCGAATTAAATTGTTTTAAATCAATAAGCACTTTGATTCACAGACATGCAGCCATTTTATTTTGTGTCGGCATGCAATGCTATTCACTATGCTCATTCGTTCACCTACTTATTCTTGTGCAAAATGTTGCGTTGGCATTGCTATAACATTCGAAAACAATGTCATGTGGGCTTGTTAGAACTCAGGAAAGCATGTGATCAAACAAAAAAGTTTTGTAAAATTTGTGTATATGTAAGGGAATGCAAGCATGCTTGTGATAAAATGTTATTTATTAAATCGATCAACATAAAATTTGAACAAAAATGATCGTGTTATCTGATTAGCTAAAGTAAAGTACACTTACATCACTTAAACAATTGCAGAGGAGTCATCATTTAACCTGTTTGCTTTTTTTTAGCACCTCTTTACCAGTGTCGAGCTTATGTGATGCTCAACAAATAAAAAGAGAGAAATATTTCCGACATTCCTAATCAAACCAATAAGTAAAACAAGAGGGCATCGTGCATCACTTTTTGAAGTTCATCTAGCCTTTGCGTATATCTGGATCACCGCATAACATAGGATATTGTAAGAACGTAATCACTGTTGCTTTATGAGCACACCTAATCGTCCATAAATGCGATTGCATAAGTTGTTGTAATAATGTTGGATAGGCTTCACATCAACAAGTGCATGAGTTATTTCGAATGTCGTGAGTTGCAACCATTAGTAGGAGTTCACGTTTGTCCTTGCTTAGGAGCTAGTACTACATCGTCACAACTGCAGTGGACAACTTTTCTGTGGCCCATGTTTTACACTAGCACAAACAGTTGTAAACGCACAAGCATGCAAAAATCGAATACTCAAGGCGCTAGCTGACCTGGGTGGTGGAAGAAATGGAACTGCTTTCTTGAAATTTTTTAGTCCTCATTATGTTTGCCGTGAGTGTTTAACAATAAAGATTCGAATACCCGAGATGCAGGAAAGGAAAGGCTTCGTGAAAGTGCGACAGAAAAATATGGCATAACAAAATTTGGGAAAGAGAAATAGCGGTGAAGAGAGAAAGATACACAATAAACAAATACAGGGACTAGAAAAAGATTTTTAAGGATTGAGTTGCCTTGGCATAGCTCAAG